TACTGTTAGGACAATTCTAGATGTTGCTGCTTCTGAACAATTGCATATCCATCAAATGGATGTGTACAATGCTTTTCTGTAGGGGCTCTACATGATGAGATCTATATGACTCTACCATAAGGATTTCAAAGTTAGGGGGAGAGCGAACCAGCATGCAGACTTCTGAAATCCTTATACAGACGTAAATAGGCACTAAGATAGTGGAACGCCAAACTTTCTGAAGAACTATTGAAGGTTGGGTTCATGCAGAGCCAACATGACCACTCATTGTCATAAAGGGACAGGCAAACACACTATAGTTATTCTGGTGTATGTAAATGACATGCTCCTAACTCGACCTGATGTGATGCTATTAGAAGAAGTCAAGGCCAAACTGCAGCAAGCTTTTAAAAAGAAAGACCTAGGTGAACTGAAATACTTCCTTGGCATTGAGTTTGCTAGGTCACAACAAGGCATTCTAATGCACTAAAGGAAGTACACCCTAGAACTAATCTCTGAACTTGGGCTAGGAGCTGCAAAACCAGTTGTTACACCTAGTGAAGCCAACACTAAGCTAACCACTAAGGACTATGATGAACATACAGGTATACACAACACAACAGTTGATGAGTTGTTACCAGATCCGAGCAAGTATCAAAGACTACTAGGAAAACTACTCTATTTGACTGTCACAAGACCATACATAGCCTTCAGTGTACAGACACTAAGTTAGTTTATGCAGAAACCTAAAAGATCTCATATGGAGGCTGTACAAAGGGTAGTCAGATATGTGAAAAATCAACCTAGACAAGGCATACTATTGTCTACTAAGAAGAAGAACATATTCACAGCCTATTGAGATGCTGACAGCATGTCCTCTCACTAGAAAATCAGTAACTGGCTTCTTCGTTATGGTGACTCACTAGTGTCCTGAAAGTCTAAGAAGCAGAGCACTATTTCTAGGAGTTCTGCAGAATTAGAATACAGAAGCATTGCATTGATTGTGGCAGAGTTAGTTTGGATACTTGGATTGTTTTAAGATATTGGAGTGTCAATTTCTCTTCCTATGACCATCACACTGACAGCAAGGCAGAAATTCAGATAGCTGCAAATCTAATTTTTCATGAACGTACCAAACACATTGAGATCAATTGTCACTTCATAAGGGAAAAGATACAAAAAGGGCTAGTGAAGACAGAGTATGTTGTCACAAAAGAACAACTTGCAGATGTTCTAACTAAAGGTTTAACTAGAGTGCAACATGAGTACTTGATGTCCAAGCTAGGTGTTCCTAATGTTTTTGTATCACCTAGCTTGAGGGGGAGTGTTGAGGAAAGAGGAGTTACTTACGCATGAAGGGTAGTTTAGTCTAATTATACATGGCCGGATTAGTTGAGTTTGTTGGATAGTTTGTTAGAGGTTAATCATGTAAGTGATTGGTTAGTTAAAAGTCATATTATCTCATTGTATATAAGAGCTACTGTACATATCATAATGAATAAAATGAAAATGTTTACTGTTTCATTCATTTCTTTCACTTCTTCTCTTCGTCTCTTTTCTTCCTCTCAGCTAGGGTTTCTTAGTGCACTTAATCCACAAACTGAGCATTTCCCCCTACCCCTTTTTTGAAGGATAGCTAGTCATCCTTATGATATATTTTCAAGGGCAAGGACATACCCTCTTTTGTGATCCTCTGTTCTTATGAAATATACAACCCCAGTGGGAAACTAAATTTAAAGAAAAAAAAAAGCAAGCAGCATGTTATATTAGGTTAAATTGCACTAAATGTGTAAATACTACTCCTACTTTTTTGGAAATCTCCAGGAAACAAAAAGAGGAAAAGGAGAACTTAAGAAAAGAAACAGAAAAGAAATGTGTTGTTGGAGTCATTCTTTGACTGGTCAGCTTTGACTAAATCATCATAGTTCATTTGCTTGTCAAAGTCAACTACACGTTTAGTAAGAAGAAAGCTTTCCTTTGTCCCACTAATATATATACAGGGCCAATCAAGCAAAATCATCCAAAAATAAAGCAAAAGCTTCACTTTGAACAATGGAGAAAATGTCCACATATGATCACTTGTATTATAGCACAGAAACAAGAAACATGTCATCAGAAACAAGTACTAGTAATACTGGAAATGATTTTGACCTTGAACATAATAAGAACGAAGATCGACCTAATATGATTCGATGGAAGTCAGGAAAAATGGTTGATCCCATACTGCTAGAACTCTTGGAATCATTTAGGGAAGTCTATGTGAAAAGAAGGAAATTTTTCAAGAAAATATTCCCTGTGAATTATGAAGAATCTGTGGAGGTGTTCAAGAAATTAGAGGTTGCTATAAGAAAGAACAAGAAGGTGAAAAATCAAGCTACAGTTAAGAGAAGCTTGAGCTTTGGAGATGAGTCTAATATAAGACTTGAAAGGTTCAAGATCAAGACTCCTGTTGTCATAGTTGCTGGACCAAATGGTCAAGGTAGTCAAAATGGCCAAGACAATAATGGTTCCAATAATTCTGGCTAGACTTTCCTGAGCCGAGGGCCAATGGGAAACAACTTCTTTACCTTCACAAGGTATAGGGCTAAGGTTGTGTACACACTATCCTCCTTAAACCCGACTTGTAAAACTACATTGAATATGTTGTTGTAATTACGAAAAAATATATTATCGTAGTGGCTGAAACCAAAATTTCGTCAAAAAGGTTTAAAGATATGTTGAAACGTCACATGTGGTAGTGGAACCAATGACCTATATGTATAGCAATTTTGAACCTTTTTTGCCTCTACAATAGAAGTTACCCTTATACATTTAATTTTCCGGCAAAAGAAATTCGGCTGAACATTTTTCGCCAATGTAACTCCGCCAATGGAACCAAAAAAGAACCTTAAATAATCTTTTAATTAAGTATATTCTGATTTAATTTGTTGACTTATCTTCCAGTTCAACAGCATAGCCATTTGATCATTTCTGCATTGATCTGTGATTAGGGGATTGTTTTTTTCTTTTTCCCACTTTGTACATTCTTTATCGATTTGAATATTTTTAAAAAGCTTTGCATGATTATATTTTAATTTGGTAAGATACATTATAAGATCAGTTCAAGCTAGGTGTACATGAGCATTTTGTGTATATTTGTTTCCCTCTCTTGTTACGTTACATATTTACGAAGAAAATTTCTGTTGAATATAATTTCTTCAGCAAACGTCGAACAATAACCTGCAAACGTACAATCTAATATATGAAGAGGTTATTGCCCAACTTTTTGTGGTAGTATAAATGAGTCCAAGTGTTATGCCTTAAACCAAGTGTCAATATGCATGTAAAGAGTTTTTACATCGGGCAATATTTCAAAGTTACTATGGACAATGGCTTATTTTGTCCAAGTGTCCTTCCGAGAGAAAGAGTGGCATCTTGCATGTCTGTTCATGGACAAGTGTTAAATCACTTGTCAAGATTACCATCATTATTCTTGCTTATATAAAGCCACAATTTGCCGCATCCGAAAGATCAACAAAAGAAAGAAAATTATCTTCACCTTTGTGGTTCAATCATTACCTAACTATGTAGCCATTATCATATCAATTATTAAGCTTTCTTTAGTACCAATTCGTCCAAATTCTCATTCACAAGTTATTTCTTTTACAGTTTTCCAACTTCCTGGATTTATTATTAATATTTTGTTGATTCTTGTATCCTCTAAATAAATAGAGATGTGCTTGTTTAATCCTGAGGAACATTTCACATTGCTGAAATAGTTTCTTAGGACAGTACCTAGCACGACTCAAGCCTTTGTGCAGACAAATAATATTATTGCAATATTATTATTGTTATTTTCCGGTGTAATTTCCCTACACTTTTTTCCTTCTCCCCAAGAGTGATACACTGAGATATTATCTTTGATTTTCCACTACATATTCTCCACGTAATTGGATAGGATAAGGGAAAAGAAAAAGCTTAGTACATAATAAGAGAAACTTTGAAAATTTTGTTGTGTATTATAGTGTCTATAGACTTGTTCGGGTGTTTAAATGTTGTTGAAGGAAATGGTTGTTTGAGCTATCAATGGTGAAATCAACCCCCC